CCTAGAACCTCTCTTCAATTTATTGAAGGGGGAGAGGGAACTAGCCTCCCTCAGGGAACTGACCCCAGAGGCAAAGACAGCAATCAAAAAGGTACAGAAGGCCTTGTCAGAAAGGCAGGCACATCGGTGTGACCCAAATGTGCCTTTCCAGTTCATTGTTCTAGGAAAGCTGCCACACCTGCATGGGTTGATTTTCCAATGGATCGAGGAGCAGAAGGATCCCCTCTTAATCATAGAATGGGTTTTCCTGTCGCTCCAAAGATCCAAAACTATCACTAGACCACAATAGCTGATAGCAAAGCTGATTCAGAAGGCCAGGGTGAGGTTGTGCGAATTAGCAGGGTGTGACTTTGCATGTATCCACCTTCCAGTCAGGCTTTCTGAGAAGGAAGGAACTCTCCTGAGAGATTGACCAAAGGGATGTTTGAGCATTTGCTCCAGAGCAGTGCCAGTCTCCAGCTATTTCTGGACAGCTACAGGGGACAAATATCAGTCCATGCCCCATCTCACAAGTTGTTCAATGAAGAATTCCACCTTATTCCTCAAGAGAAAAGGAGCCAGAGGGCACTCAAGGCTCTCACAGTGTTCATGGATGCCTCTGGGGCTTCCCACAAGTCGGTGACGACTTGGAGAAATCCACAGACTCAGCACTGGGAAGCTGATGTTGAGCTTGTGGAGGGATCCTCCCAAGTGGCTGAACTGGCTGCAGTGGTGAGAGCTTTTGAGAAGTTTTCTGAGCCAATCAACTTGGTGACAGACTCTGCCTATGTGGCAGGAGTAGTGTCCAGGGCGGAGCAGGCTGTGCTCAAAGAAATAGAAAATGAACATCTCTTCAGGTTGCTCTCAAGGCTGATTTATTTAATCTCTCACCGAGAGCATCCATTCTCTGTGATGCATGTGAGGTCACACACTGATTTTCCAGGTGAGATTGCAGAAGGGAATCTCAAAGCAGACTCACTTGCTGCTCCAGTCAAAAAAATACGTCTCCCTGATGTCTTCCAACAGGCAAAGCTGAGTCACCAGCACTACCATCAGAATGTGCCAGGTTTGATTCGACAGGTCCAGGCTCGAGCCATTGTGACCAACTGTCCTAATTTCCAGCTCCAGGCCGTGCCATCGTTGGGCATGGGGGTAAACCCCAGAGGCCTTAGCAGCTGTGAGGTATGGCAGACAGACATCACACACATTCAAAGTTTTGGTCGCCTTGAATGTGTTAATGTAAGCATAGACACATTCTCAGGTGCTATATAGACCCCTGACATTTCCTGTTCGTCCTCTTTTGCCCCACTCTCCCCTGGGACATCACAGAATAAAGAGAGCTGCACCAACGTATATCAGAGTTAAGAGACTCTTTTGGAAATCTTCACCATCTCCTGATATTCCTCCCCTCACAGCCTTGGTTCTCTGGGCTAGCCTTATTATTCAAGGGGCTGTGTGAGGTGGGGAATTTCAGATGATATCGTGTGTGGGAGCACAGCAGGGGAAGTCTTCGAAAAAGGAGAGAAGATTCTTCAGATTCTGCTGAAAGCTGGTTTTGCCATTAAGCGAAACAAGGTTAAGGGACCAGCTCAAGAAATTCAGTTTCTAGGAGTCAAGTGGCAAGATGAATGCTGTCAGATCCCAACAGAAGTAATCGACAAGATCACCGCTATGTCTCTACCTACCAACAAGAAGGAGACACAAGTTTCCTAGGTGCCATAGGCTTTTAGAGAATGCAAATCCCTGACTACAGTCAGATTGTGAGCCCTCTTTACCTGGTCACCTGCAAGAAGAGCGATTTCCACTGGGGCCCTGAACAGCAACAAGCTTTCACCCAAATCAAGCAGGAAATTGCTCATGCAGTAGCTCTTGGCCCAGTCAGGCCAGGACCAGAGGTGAACAACATGCTCTACTCTGCAGCCAGAAACCATGGTCTGTCCTGGAGCCTTTGGCAGAAGGTGCCTGGGGAGACTTGGGGTCAACCACTGGGGTTCTGGAGCTGGAGTTACAGAGGGTCTGAAGCAAACTACACTCCCACAGAGAACGAAATCTTGGCCACCTATGAAGGAGTTCAAGCTGCCTCAGAAGTAATTTGCACCGCAACACAGCTGCTTCTAGCACCCTGGCTACCAGTGCTGGGGTGGATGTTTAAAGGAAAGGTTTCTTCCACACATCATGCCACAGACACCACATGGAGTAAATGGATTGCACTCATCACTCAGCGCGCCCGTATTGGAAATCTGAATTGCCCTGGGATTTTGGAAATTATAACAAACTGGCCTGAAGGGGAGACTTTTGGATTGCCTTCTGAAGAGGAGGAGCAAGTGGCATGCTGAGGAGTCCCCACTATATAATGAGCTACTGGAAACGGAAAGACAATATGCTCTTTTCACTCATGATTCCTGCTGAACTGTAGGCACTAGCTGGGAATGAAAAGTATGGAGCCCCACACAAGGATTTGCACAAGCTACCGAGGGACAAGGTGGATCAAGTCAGGTTGCAGAACTTAAAGCTGTCCAGCTGACTTTGAATATTCCTGAATGAGAAAAGTGGCCAAAGCTATATCTCTACACCGACTCATGGATGGTAGATAATGCTTAGTGGGGATGGCTGAGTCACTGGCAAAAGACCAACTGGCAGTGCAAAGGGAAATCAATTTGGGCTGCTGAGATCTGGCAGGACATTGCCACCCGAGTAGAGAAGCTGATTGTGAAGATTCAACACGTGGATGCACACGTACCCAAGAGTCAGCTACTGAAGAGCATCACAACAACGAATAGGTAGACCAAGCTGCCAAGGTGAAAATATCACAGGTAGCTCTAGATTGGCAGCATAAAGGAGAATTATTCCTAGCTCATTGGGTCCATGATGCCTCTGGTCATCAGGGGAGAGATGCAACATACCAATGGGCCCGTGACCAAGGGGTGGACCTTACTATGGACAACATCTCACAGGTCATGCACGACTGCGAGACCTGCACTGCCATCAAACAGGCCAAACGGATGAAGCCTCTGTGGTACGGTGGGTGATGGTTGAAAAACAGGTATGGGGAAGCTTGGCAAATTGACTACATCACGCTTCCCCAGACCCGACAAGGCAAGCACTATGTACTGACCATGGTGGAAGCAACCACAGGATGGTTGGAAACCTACCCTGTGCCTCATGCCAATGCCCGGAACACCATCTTAGGCCTAGAAAAACAGGTCTTGTGGAGACACGGCACCCCTGAAAGAATTGAGTTGGACAATGGAACCCATATTAAGAATGGCCTTATCAACACCTGGGCCAGAGAACATGGGATTGAGTAGATATATCATATCCCCTATCATGCACCAGCTTCCAGAAAAGTGAACGATGCAAAAAAGGACTGCTTAAGACCACCTTGGTGGGAGAACCTTCAGGAATTGGGAATTGAATTTGGCAAAAGCCACCTGCATGGTCAACACCCGAGGGTCCATCAATCAAGCTGGTCCTGCCCAATCTGAACCCTTGCAGTCAGTGAATGGAGATAAAACCCCTGTGGTACATACGAAAGGTGTTTTAGGAAAGACAGTTTGGATTAATCTCACCCCAGGCAAAGACAAACCCATCCGTGGGATTGTTTTTGATCAAAGACCCAGTTACACTTGGTGGGTAATGCAGAAGGATGGGGAAACCCGTTGTGTACCACAAGGAAACCTAGTCTTAAGTGAGAACTATGTGTACGGTTTCATCATGATGCAGATGGAAATAGAAAAAGAGGTCCATAATGTCTGAGATTGAAAAGCAAGATGTTTTCTAGAACCATCTGTGTAGCAATTACCCTCTGGGCAGTTTTCCTTATCTCCTCTTAATGAGCCCTTCAATGTCTTGCCACATGACTCAGAGATAACACTCTCCAGAGGCCAGTTCTGTTTAACAGGTGATCAAGAACACACCAGAATGACATCAGCCCATTGTGAGATGCTCTGCCCGGGGGGAGGAGCTAAGCATTCCCACCTAGATATATTCTGGGATTTCTAGACAGAGAAGCAGTCTTCCCACAGGTTTCCAAGAGGACACAGCTGGGGTTTTCCACTGGACTGACTACACCTTTTCTACAGGACCACTGCACAAACAGAAGCCACATCTGTCACTCCAAGAGGACGCAGCCACTCCAATTTGGACTGCTACCAACACGCTGGCCAAAGGGGTGTCAGGTTGTATTCTGAATTTTTTGGTGGTCTTCATTTTGTATCATTGCATGTACTTTGTCTCTTTTCCATTTTCCCAATAAATTGTATTTCTGACTTGAAGTTTCTCACTGGTTTTGCTTTCAAACCAGAATAAGATGTTAAACAATGATTGAGTTCATCAAAGAAATGTAGAAATGAGTAAATTCCTGTAGCTACCAAAAAAACAGACCTCTGTAGTGCAGACTGATGAGTGGCCCAAAGATTGCCTGTGCCCCTGTGCCCTCCTGGGCACCAGCTGCAGGCAGCAGTCGGCCACACTCACAGGACTGTGCTCAGCTCAGTCTCTAGTGCACTGAACATTTTCTCTCCCAAACCCAACACATTAAATCTAACTTTGATGAGAATGATAAATTATATAATAAAGAAAAATTATAAAATCCCAGCAGTGAGTACTGGAAAGAGATGTCTGCTTTGAGGATTTTGATCATGGCATTTAATATCCAGTCTGCAATTCATGCCATTCTCTTTTATTATATTCTGTTTATAAACTCTGTGTTGTAATCACAGATTTTCTAGCATGATATTCAGTAATTATCTAAGCCCTTTATCCCGGAATGCAATTGCATTTGGCTGCTTATCTTATTCAACTTCTATTGATTTCAAAGGTTCATATTATGTAAGGTCTTTGAGTGGAGCTGCATATATCTTAGCAGGTTCAGAAAGAGGTAAATTATTGTTCATAGGGTCCAGAAAAAAAAAAAAAAGAGCAACAAACCAAGCACCTCTTAAAGGACAATCTGTGGCTTTCTCCTTCTACACAGCAGTTCACACTGCGACAGAGCCTGTGTGGTGAGAGAGAGAAGTAGAATGGAGAAGTCCAGGAATATATCTGAAGATTTCATACAAAAGGCAATGGCAGCTGCCAACTCAATGCGTCGTGATGAACTGCTTTTCTCTTACAAGGGAACTCTCTACCCTACCACTATTTGCAGTCCTGAAACATTCAAAGCTTTGGAGTCCTTTGAAGTCAGAAGTGATGATGTAATTTTGGCAGGATACCCAAAATCCGGTGAATACATTTTAATTTTTTGCATTAACAAGGTTCTGTAATAGTTAGTAACTAGGGTTGTACAGAATATAAGCAATATATTTGGATGGTTCACAATATTATATATTATGCTAAATAATAGTCTTTAGAATGTTCAGCAAATCTTGTAAAACTTATTTAATTCTCAAAAAGCACAAGAAATTAGTTATGAATATTTGATATGGGAAACTTTCCAAAAGACTGAGAAAAACAATCTGATTTTCTTTTCTATAGCAACCAATGGTTTTTGTTATTTTTATTTGGATAGTTGTGATATTATATGCACAAATAGGTGGGAATCTAAATACAATTTTTTACACCAGAGGCAACTAGATCTCTTGATATTACACAATCTCCTCCACATGTATGTTTGTAAAGTTAAGAGCTTTATGTTTTCACAATGGAGTTTTTGGTACCTTCAAATGGTGAATATTCCATAGTCTTTATTTAATTTCCCATAGATGTCAGGAAATAGTTACCAACAATATTTTTGTTCTTGAAGTGATTGCAGTGTTCTTTAATCATTGAGAAATCAAGAGGACATATTTGCTAGGCTTGCAAGTTTACCCCACATATTTACTCCTTCTTTCTCAAAGCACTGGTCCACGTGCAAGCAAAAGTTTGGATGAGATGGGCCTCATATACACTTTAATCTACCTGTTTCTCTCTTCCAGCAATTGGCTAACACTGCCTTACAGCAGATAGTCACAGCTGACAAGATTGTGAAGTTTTTGCTTTTTTATTTATTTTCTTTTTGAAGAAATGTTATGCAGTTGAATGCAGTTGCTAAGATTGCATTGAAAAAGATGAAGGTACCCAGTGTCCAGATGTCAGGAAATGGTAAATTAGAGATGGGAGGTTTATGCAGGCTCTTTGTTGTCTTTTGAATAAAAAGATAACAAATGTTTCTAGGAAATGTCACTTTAGAGAGTTTTTTCCTATTGTTAAAGAAAATGAGTGCACAATTTTCAGATCTAGTTCTGCTGCTGTGTTGAAGTAGTGTGATCCATCTTTCTCCCTAAAGTAATCCAGCACACCAGAAAACACTTAATGTTTAAGGTTTTAAAGTACAGGTTTACCACCCCAGTCTTCCCTTTATATGTCACAATAAAATTTATTACTTTAATGCAGGTTTTCCTAGTTGGATCTCAATGGTTCTTCTCTTTTATTAGTTAGTTCACAATATACAAGGTAATTTATGGTGTCCTGAACTGCTCAAGCTGGAGAAATATGTCCTTCTGAGGAGCAAAGGTAGGAGCCTGGGAGGTGATTGACCAGACAGTCAGATGTGATTGCATCATATGAAAGGAGGCCAAGTAACTCACCTGGTAGTATTACCACCACTTGATTTCCCTGTTAAATTCATTTCTGCTGATTCTGAAAGTTTTACAGCAGTTCTGTATTTTGCTTCTTTTAGGCACAAACTGGCTAAGTCAAATCTTAACTGACCTGATAGCCATATCTCAAAAGAAAACACCAGGAAGTGAAAGTAGTTTGAATGCTGAAGAACAAAAAGAAATAGCCTACCTTGAAGTTGGAGATGCCAAGAAATATGAGGTGGGAACAGAATATGTATGGAAATGATCAAAATGATGTGCTTCAAATACTGAATATATGATGTATTAGTTGTCCCATTGTTTGATAAGAATGTTACTTCTATTGTCCCATTGTTTGATAAGAATGTTACTTCTATTTATGTGACATCTTTTCAGGAATAACTTTATCTGGACTGTCAAATACTGAGGGGTAAATTAACACATCTGTGGAACAGAAAGGGGAACATACCCATGAGATACATAAGTATTTCCAAAATTCAACATAGCATCTTTTGTATTTAAGAACAGCTTCATGAAGTGTCAAATCATGAAGTATTAGCTTTTGTCTCTTTTACTTGCTTTTCCTCCTTATCCCCTCTCTCAGTCCTTCACAGGCTTCAGCTTTCAGAGATAGCTAATCTGTATCCTACCACTAGATTTTATCCCTTGTCTAACAGAAATGAAGAGAATTATCACTGAAGAGAACTAACAATGGATAGTCTTTTTCCAAGTGCTCATGGGCTTTGGAAATTAGAACTATTCAGAACAGCCCACTAATCTCCCAGAGCAACACTCACAAAAAAATCCCAAAAACCATTTCTATCAGCCAATAACTGTTGATAAGTTCATCAGAGCAACATTTTAGCATAGGTTAATGAAAAGAATACTTGTACTAAGTGAACTCGCCATTTTCCTCCTTCCAAATCTTCAAGCGAATGACTAGATTACCTTCTCCAAGATTTCTGGCTTCTCATCTCCGTCCTGAAAACCTTCCCAAGTCTATCTTCAAAAACAATGCCAAGGTGAGTGCTCATTTTAATGTATTAAAGCAAACACTTCAACAGATTTTTGTTTAAAGCAAATTTAGTACTTTATTGCCAATTTTCAGAATCACACTTATACTTAAGTGTTTAGCCTGGCCATTTCTACATGAGTCCTTAAGCGCTGTCATTCATCTCACCTAACCACAGTTTGGCCTTTATTGGCACCTTTGTGACAGTTTCCACAAGACACTTGCAGGGTTTGAACAAATCCTCCAGAGGCAGAATGTATTTTGATGTAATTTCCTGTGGGAAGAATTTTATGGCATTGTTGCAAGTGAGGGCTTCAATGTGTCAAATTTCCAGGACAATTTATATTTTTGTGAATTTCCCCTGCTACTTAAAAGATGAACTATGCTTGTATTGATCAAAACATACTTAGATTCTGCATAAATAATTTGGTCAATCTGTAAAAGATAGTAATTATAGGCAATCATCTTCTCATGGTACCAAAGCAAAGTTAAATATTGCACCTTCAGAATTGGGAATGAAATTGCTACTTCTGCAAGGAGCACACAAGGTATTAGAAATCCCCAACTGCAGTTATAAAGAATATTATTGTTTCTTTTTTAATGTTGTAGTCTGCTATGTCTTTCTCTATAAATAATTCAATTATTTTTCTAGATATTGTTACTGATTCGTAATCCAAAAGATGTTGCTACATCATTCTACCATTTCTCCAATGGCATAGTTTTTCTTCCCTCCTATGAGACCTGGAATGATTTCTTCACGGATTTCATGACAAAGAAAAGTACAGTATATTTTTTCTGTCTGTGTCAATTGTCCAATGATTTGTCTTTGTCTAAAAACCCTTGTACTTTGTTATATCAGTTTCACTAGGATCTCTTGCTTTACAAAAGCAGAGATTAAAGACAGAGAATTAGAAATCTGAACTGAAGTCTACCAGGCTTGTCTTACTGCTTGAGGATAAATATTTGTCAAAATGCACTTCCACAGGCTTTAATTTGTACAAACTGGTATTTTTCCTGGAAGAAGCAGTTCTTCCTTACCTCTACCTCGGGTCCCCTTTACCCCTGCTCTCCTATGTCCATCATCTTGTGTCCAGGGAGCTGTATAATCACCTCCATGCCAAAATGGATGAAAGGAATTATTTGGTCTAGGCCTAGTGCATTAAAAAGTGAACTAATTCTAATGCATTACAAAAGAGAAAAAGTAATAGCACTAGTTTAATTAATTAGCACTAGTTATGAGTTTGGCATAGCACATGGTCAGCAGAAGAGAGGGTTCAAAATGGTTTTAGACTGGATTAAGGCAGTCTTACAAGATCGTCTGCAAGAGGATAGCTATTTTGGTGAACTCAAAGCTTTCTTGAAATACTAACAAGTTTTATTTTTCTGACTTACAAATGGTATCACATGCCTGAGTCTGGAGCAAAACTTGTACTTACCACAGAAGGTGGTAAACTCTGCCATAAATACAATTAACAAAGCCCTTGGTTGACACAACTTAATGAGCAAAACTTGTATAATCTTAATTTGTGCTTCATCTTAGGATCCTTTTGTTTTATTTAGTGGCCTGGGGATGCTACTTTGAATACATTTCTGAATGGAACAAATATGCTGACAAAGAAAATATTATGACAATAACTTATGAAGAGGTAAAAGAGGTAAGACTACCAATAGTTACAAATTCTCTTTACATAAGGGGACACTTTTTTCCTGAACTAATTCACCATTGTATGCATGCAGGGTATCTAATTTGTGTGAGACAGGTTCTTGTTATAAGGGAAGAAAAGGGGAAATTGAAACTTAAAAGCCCTCTTAAAATTTTTCTTGTGAAAATGATTCTGGTTTTTTATTTATCTGTGATATAAGCCCAAGTAATTGTAAATCCAATTCAACTGTAGTGTCTTTGCGGAGGAGCTTTTTTATTTTCAGCAGTGTAGGTTTTACACACCTGTCAATCATATAAAATATTTTGTAATCTACAGGAAGGCAGCTCATATCTCCTCCAAAATAATTATGGACAAGAGAAGCGCTATGGCCCACTCTAGTCCTAGTGAAGTCTATGACTATCCTATGTATGCAGCCAGCAGAGTGATATAGGGATGTGTAAACACCTTGGAAAGCAGTGTCATTTGTTTGAACATCATGCCATATGCTACATTCCTCTTTCCAGAATCCAGCCCTGAGTGTGAAGAACATAGCTACATTCTTTGGAATACCTCTGACTGAGGAAGAGCTCCAGCTAGTGCTAGAGAGGAGCAGCTTCCAGTCTATGAAGAAAAACTCGGACAAGACCCATGGGCCAATTGCTAATGCTCTCTTTCGCAAAGGTAGGAAGCTGCAAGTGGCTCAGAGGTAGAAATGTCCCACTGCCAAGAACTTGGGCCATCCTTTGGTTCTTTTTCCTGCACTCACATTAGCATTGCTAAGCAGGTTATCACTGCTTTGCTTGAGAAGACTATTCAAGAAAAACTGGTGAGGAAGATAGCCAGCAAGGCTCTCACAGCAGAGACACTTTTGGAGGCTCACAGACGGCTAGCAGGAAGGAGGAACTGTCATGCATCAGAATTCCTCTCCACTCTGTGCCTGGAATACCAGTTGCCCAGCCTTTGGAGCAGGCAGCACTGGCCCAAATTCAGCCTGAGTGGCGTGACCACACTTTTTAGGAGTGTAGGAATCTTCTGAGATGGCCAGTGCCAAATGCCTTCTCACTCTTACCCATTAGAAATAAGCCAAACAAGCAAGAATCCAGGTACACAAAAGGGTGGGAACACAATTTGGGAACAACCTTTGCAGTATAGTGTGTGGGACATGGACATGAGAAGGGCAACCTGGTTGTCAGAATCTATTTCTTCATTTTATATTAGAGACATAATTGGAGAATAACTCAAGCTGCCAAAGGAGCAGAAACTCATCTCTATCTCCTGGCACATAATTCTTAATCAATTCCTCATGATCTTCCACTTTGCCAGTCATGACTGACTAGAGGAGAGAGATGGATGGAAACAGGATTTTAGGCTGCATTTTTGAGTACCATCACCTAAAGAGGAGTACGTTCTTTTGCATTATAGCAAAAGGTTATTCACATAGACATGTAATGCCATGGAGTTCACAAAATTATATTGGTGTAGAAAAATGCTTCATCTGGAAAATGCATCAACGCAATTTAGTGTACAATGCAATAAAAATGAGAGCTCTGTAGAATAAAAAATGAAATTCCTTGCTTTTCAAGAGTTTGTTCTTGCTTCTTTGAAGGTGGTGTAAGTGACTGGAAGAATCTTTTCAGTGAAGATCAGAGTGAGAAAATGGACAAAGCATTTGAAGAACATATAGCAGGAACAAAACTTGGAAAAAAGTTAAAGTATGACTTGTACTGCAAAGCCTGAAGAATTATGAAACGTGGTTAGAAGAAGAAATTTGCAAGGCAGACTCAGATCATCTGAAGGGTATACACAGGACAACTAGATCAAATGATACAAGCACCTTAGAATTACTGTGACAGTCATTGCAGCAGTCTTTAGAGTGACTCTCTTGAGGAATGGCCTTCTGTTTCATGGTGAGACCTCAGGCCACACCCATTTGCTGAAGAAGATGACAACTAATGACATTTACAAAAACTCAACAGCCCTGTTCCAGCTGTCACCTTGAAGGAAATGCCCCTTTTCTTTCTAGACAAAATTGTATCCTTCTAGACTACTAATACTTATCTAGTATGCAGATTATTTTTCTCTTCAAAACCATTTCAAATGAAGCAACATCTTCACATAAAATATCACTAGCAAAAATAGAGATATGACAGAAGCTTAATGTCAAATGAGATCTCCCGTGAGTTCAACACAAACTAAATCAAAGCTAGAGGGTGGAGAAAGAAAGGCAATATGGATCATTGTTAAGGCTATTCATCTCTCTGAATGCAGAATATCAAGATGGATTTCAGATTATGGGCTGATGTTAATAGGCAAGATTCCCTGAGAAGCACTGCTTTCTATAGGATCACAGAGCAGCCCAGGTTGGAAGAGACCTTGAAAAATCATCTGGTACAACCTTTCATGGGAAAGGGAGCCTGGATGAGATTCATTCTAGATATAATATATTAAAAACCTCCAGTGATGAGGAGTCTACCACATTTATGGAGGCATTGTTCCAGCAAATGCTTGTTCTTGCTGTAAATAACTTACTTCATGTATCAAGATTAAACCTCTCCTGTTGCAACTTGAACCCATTGCCTCTTTTCTTCTCCATGTGGTGTCTGGTAAATAGGGAGCCTTTATCCTCTTTGGAGCTGCCTTTAAGTACTGGAAACTCTGATGGGGTTGTCCCTGAGCCTTCTCAGCTTTGTGGTCCTCCCTTGGAAACCCTCTTCTTTGTCTGTTACTTGAAAATGTCTCTATTGAGATAGTGGGGTTTCAAGAGTGATGGTGGAAGACATTGCTGTACCCAGCCCTCTTCTAGTGCCACTGGCATTTGCCTCTCTAGACACAATATTGCAGACTTGTCCAGGGACCTATTCTAGAAAAAAAGAGGCAAAATAAGGTTCTGTAATTATGGTTGATTAAAAACAGGAAAAACCTGACCCAATTTATAGAACCACCACCTAACGAGGTAAGATGTAAAAATAAAAGATACAGTTGAACAGTGAGACAGGGGCTTGGAAATTTAACTCTTGTTAGAAACCAAATTTGGATTTAGCTGAAGTCTGCTTGTTTAATCTGTTAACTCATGTGCTCACAAAAAGGCCTGGGGAGACAACAGATATGATTCAAGGCTACTTCAAAAGGAATAAAAGCATTCAAACTGAAGTGAGATAAGAGGCCTCACTGACCTTGAGGCTGAAGCAAATGGAAAAACTGAACCTGGGTTATGTGACTGAATAACTTTGCAGGCTCATAAAAATTTGAAAGACAGTTTAATACATATGCATATGTCTTTTATGCATATGCAACAGATTAGGGGATAAAGTAGACTTGGGAATTTTTGGGGGTGCGCATGTCCTTGGGGAGCATGTGTCCAGCTCGGAAATAAATCATACCGGCTTTACAACTTTTACAGGTTGTGGAGTTTTTTTTCTGCAAATCAAAGGAATGAAATATCCAAAGAATTTTTGTTTCACTCTTCTAAAGCTGGTTGCTTCTGCTTGGACATAAGTGGACATGCAGAGTTTTGTAAAGAAATAGGAATGCTCAAAGTAATACTTAGAAATATTTAGAAAATAAATGAATGAGCAGCAGAAAATCCTGTGGCAAGCCATCTTTGAACAACTACAGGTTATCTTTAAGCAACCAGAAAGGTACCAGATTTCTAGAGGAGAACATACATAATAGTAGTGTTTAAAATCTTGCAAAGGAAGAATCAAAATAGAACAGTCACCTTAGCTTGATCCATAGAAATATGGTAGCAAAAATGACAAAGCAACTGACCATGGAACATTTTGAAGAACATGAAATAGTAAATATATGTTAAAAAAGTTGGTGATCCTCCTTAAGATAACTTACCTCTTGAATAAGCCACTGACAGAAAATGCAAGAGGTGACAGCATTGGGGAGAGCCTGACATGTGACTAAAGAGACAGAAATTTATGTGGGGATGGCAATGTACAAACATTGGCTATAGAAATGAAAGTACTGGAAGCAGACTTAGGTTCTTAGAAATTCATACAACAGCAATAAAAGGCATTCAGAAGCACTCTCAGCACCAGCAGCAATACTTCAGGAATATCCACTTGTTCACATGGATATTATGAACTTGGTTGCAATAGTATGCTTATGGTCACACTGCATGTACAGGTTGAGAGCAAAATTGGGAGGGCAATTAAAGCAATCTTCTTTAGTGGTGAGTCCTGATCATATTCAATTTTGTTTTTAACATTGGTGGGCAGAACTACTACCATACAGTGTGTCATAAATGTCTGACTGGTAGGTCTGGGGATCAAAATAGAGAGCTGAAAGTACTAGGAAAAATGGCAAAACAATTTGAAACATAACACATTGAGAAGATTAGAGAACACAAAGTTTAGTAAAGATAAATGTAAAACTCTATATTTAGAAAAGGGAAGCCAAAAGAACAGGTACTTGATGGCGGTAAATCAGTCAGGCAGCAGCTGGCATAAAAACGCCTGAGGAATCACACTTAGCAAGGACTAACATGATGACAGTGCTAGCAAAAAAAGTCACAGATCTTATTCTGGTCTTGGTGATCTGATTGAAAACCAGACCATGACCTGTTTCTGGAGTTTTGTCCTCCCCTGTGTCATCCCAAGGCTTGAATTCAGTCCCTTTGTGCCCCTAACAATCTCACTCTGAAGGACAGAGCTATTCAGAGCAGTAACACCTCATGTGCTTTTGCTCCATTTGAGATAATCTGTGGGCCCTTACATTCAGTGGGGTAAGGGGGTGAAAGAAATGAGAATGGTAAAGGCAGGCTGCCATGTCAAAAAAATGAATGTAGGCAAGGAAACTTGGTATGTCACTTAAGTGACATATTTTGAGAGTGAAAATTAAGCTGAGATGAAGCTAGTGAGTGTGAGAAACAATTCAGAAAACTTGGGAATCTGTTTTGAAGGTAAGACATAATTGACTGACACAGTAACAGAGCTCTCAAAATTTCTTACTTCTATGTTCTTGCCAACTATCAAAAAAAGAAAAGTATATTTCTTTTTGGTCTAGTCTTTTTTGTTGCCTCTGATGCCTAAAAAGAGAAATTTCCACTGAAAATTATGTTTATATTGTATTTTTGTCTGTTTCTTTTAAAAAAAGAGAATGAACAAACCAGAAAAATTATATTAACATCTTCCACCTCTTGTACTTTCCCTAATCCATTTCAGGATTTTATTTCAGGAAATACAATTTACAGATGTGCCTTTGGTGTAATTTAACATTATTATTCCTACTAGTTGTTGCCCTAATATTTCCTGTTCCTAGTATTAGTTGCAGCAAAGACCATAGGTCACTCTTGTCAGTCTCCATGGAGTTCAGTAATATCAAAAGGATTTAACAGAGTACAGAGTTAATCAGTGACTTGCACCTTCACCCCTGAGTGAACAACCCTGTCCTATTTACTTATATGTTGCATAAAGCTTTTCTGCATTGTGGACAGACAACCTATTTCTCTTTGGGTAGATTTACACAGGAATATAGATATGACCCGAAACAGTGAAAGAATCATTGAAATAGTGGACAAATGTTTTTCAGAGGGTGACAAGATGGCCCCAGAAGATATGCTGTTTTCCTACAGAGGTATTTTATACCCAGCTGCAATTAGCAGCCCGCAGACTTTGGAAGCTCTGAAATCCTTTGAAGCCAGGAGCGATGATGTGATTCTAGTAGGTTATCCTAAATCAGGTAAGTGTTTTCTTGATCAGTAGTCAAATACACAGTGCTACAATCCTGAAGTTGATTATTTAATGCTGTCACTTAACAGAGCAACAATTCCTGAGAAAAGCTTATGATGACATCGGACTTCAAAGAATCATGAATTTAAGTTGTAAGGCATATCTGGAGCTCAAATAATGTAACACCCTGCTCAAAGTGGGGGAATGACCTAACATCCCAAGTTAAGTTTGGTTGCTTAAGGCCTTGTCCAGAAGGGTTTTGAAACTTTTGAGGATGGCGCTTCACCACCCATTGAAATCTTTTTCAGTGTTTTGCCATAATAGTGTTTTTGGGGGGATTGGGTTTTTCTTTGTTACTACATCAGTGCAGTCAGACATGCCCTTGTTTTGAGTCTCAATCTTCATTACTACCTGCAGTAGTGGAAGACTGCAGTGAGTGTCCCATGCCTTTTTTCTTCTATCTGCAGCCTGAGCAAACCAAGCCTTTCTATGCAGTTCATTTGCTCCAGCTCCCAGTAGTTTCATGGACATTCAACAAAACTTTCCCCAGGTTCTCAAAATCATTTGTGCTTCAGTCTAGGAACTGCACACAGTATTCCAATGGTGAACACACCAGTGCCAGCTAAAGCGGGACAATCACATCCTTTCCTTTGTATCTAAATGGAGAAAAAGACATGAATGCCTTTGATATGAAAAGACAAGGATTTTTACATATTTTCTCTCTCTTTTACTCTGGGCCTTTCAGAATCCTTGTTTGTTTTTTTTTTTTTTTTTTTTTTTTTTTTTTTGTTTTTTTATATTTTTTTTTTTTCTTGTCTCAGTCACTCTTTGCCATTGGTGGCTTTTATTTCCCCAAGAGAGAAGACTTGGAGGGGAACACGTGTTATTTGGTATATTTTTTTTTTTTTTTTTTTTTTTTTCTTTTTTCCTATTGGCATTACAGAAATATCTTAGTATGTAATTTGCAGAAAAAGAGGAAGTTGATCCTTATCACATCACCTTTGTGTGCAGACTCTAGAGCTGTACGCAAGCAGAACTGGTTTATATGTGTGAGGATCC